TCCGCTTCACGCCTTTGGATTAGTTCTGTAAACTGCTAGCCGCTGTTTCCTTTATAACACTTATCTACGTGTGAAGAGTAGTTCCATTATAGGTAGTTGTGATGTTCGGTTTTATTTTTCACTGTATTGCCGTCTGTTTCTTAAAAAGGGGAACATCTTTAAACATGAATGTGTGATTCGTGACTGTATCTTCAAAAAAAATGACGTTAAAGATCTGTTGAAAAGGCTTGAAAGAATTCCAGTGTATTGGTTTGATCAGATTTTATTGACAAGTTTCTTCAAATGTTTTTCTGATTGGTGCATATCCAACGGACCTCCACGCAACCTCAACATTATTAGAAGACCACTGACAAAAACAAATGCAGAAATATCTCAACTAGCTTACAGAAACATTATATGTTCAAGTAGAACCCCATTCATATCACGTGAATCTGTTTAAGAACAATTGTTTTCAGGGCATTTAGTATAAAATAAAGTTAAGTGAAGCTTTAATAAATGTACTGATGAGTCTAAATAAAAGTATCCAAATGGAAATTGACAGTGCAAAATACATTAATAATTTCTTCTGTAGAGCCTCATAAAGATTCAAGCTCTTAGGGCTCCAATTGAAATCCTTACCACCGAAGATTGTACAGATTAATAAAAAATATACTTTCTTTGAAGAGCTTTTGCTTATTCAGGCTGATAGAAGCACCATTTTTGGGTCAGAAGAAAATGTATTTTTCTAGAGACCTTCAACTTCCCTTGGAAAAATATTTTCCTTATCAAAAGCCATTCCAAAAATATATGATAGCGAGCCATACAAGTGAACCCTGCCAAAAGAAATTGTAAATGTCACTGTTAACTCCCCCAAAGGTTTTTCTTACAACATTGGCATTTTGAAGGGCAAAGATATTCCAGGGCCCTTTGGGCCACATATTATATCATAAGGTAAAGAGAAATAAAAAGAAGCAGGAACATATTACCAAAACAATGAGCTCAGTAGTTTATATACATAACTAAAGCAATGAATATATTCTCAAAATTAAGCTTTTTGTTAGACATTAACTGACGATTTTGGCAAAGTTATATATCATCCACTTTCCAACCAACCAGGCTTGATCTTAGAAACAAGTTATTGTACATCTGTGGCGCAATATAAACAGTAGCAGGGGTTTGCAGATCTCCTTTTGATGACATTGATGATGAAAGAGATAATTCTGGGACGAAGGCACCAAAATACTGTATATAGTCTGTTTGGTTTCTGTTGTATTTCACAATCACAACTAAATCTGAGCTCTCTGGGGCCGTTTCTCAATCTCGAGAAAACTGGCTTCCAAGCCAATATTTCAAGGATGCTACGTCATCAAGTGGCGCAGCAGGACCGTTTCAATGTCCAGCATACTTGGAATTCCACCGAGGCAGCGTCCTTGGTTTGGGGGAAATTTCGAGGCTGCACATGGGTAGACCTCGCGTCCTTAAAATCCCCACAATGCTTTGCGCACGGACCAATTTCAATAACCCTTGCGGAGAATGGCTGAACCGACGCAGCACACATTTTAATGTAAGTATGTAGTGGCGTAGAACATGTAAATATGTTACTTTGTTACATTTTCTCAATGTCGAGGAAGGCTGCTCCAGAGCCACTATTTCAAGGATGCTACGTCATCGAGTGCCGCCGAAGGACTGTTCCAATGTCCAGGATGCTTGGAATTCTACCGAGGCCGGTGTCCTTCGTTGCGGGAAATTTCGAGGCTACACATGTGTATCCTCCGCGGTCTTAAAATCCCCACAATGCTTTGCGCACGGACCAATTTCCAAACCTTTGTCGGAAATGGTGCTCCATTTAAGGCGGGGCCTCACATCTGACGCACACCTGTTAGCCTGTTCCACCATTCTTCGTTTTCCGAGGATAGGAAGGATTCTTGCCTCGCTTCTGAAGGACCTGACTCGGAGGGACATGTCCTACCAAGGAAGCGTCCTCGACATTGAGAAACACCCTCTGTCTTTCTCTGGTCTGCTTATATTACATTACTTAGCACCAGATGGAAAAAATTGTACCAAAACATGTTTAGTTTCCAAACAAAATCTATGATCAACAAAAAACGAATTGCAGTATAAAAAATGTGCAAATAAATTGTAGCCATTCACTTTGGTTCTGTAATAATGGATGTATAATTGGAGATATTCACCATTATTATACATTTTGTATACATAGTTTAAAGCCCCAGAAGTTCTTTTTCGATGTTAACTGTGACTAAACCCAATGCAATTCAATTTAACTTGACATTTTGCAATCAGAAATGTTTAATGAGTCGTTAAAACAGAGATAAATTCATTACGGTTGATAAATCTGTCACTCAAATCCAATCACATTTCCTCCTGTGGGTGTAAAAAGATATATTTAGAGCTTAAAGTAGTCAAGCCCAAATAAGTAGGGCATGCTTTATTATCAAATAACACACATTCATACACACATGGGGGCCAAATGCCGTATTTAAAGAGAATGTAGCATGTTAACGACAGCCTGACCAATGCTAGTGGCTGATCGCAGGTTTCTGAAACCTTACACGCTGATGGCTGGACATGCATTCATTGAATCAAGAGAACATGTACACATCTTTACTATTATGCAGAGTTTATAGTGTTTTGTACCATGTGAGATGGCAGAGCAGCTGTGGAGTTTTAGTGTAGTGCAGCTGTAAAAACCTGCCTTCGGTACACACTGTTACTTATCGTGAGTATTAATGCTAGGCTTTACTATCACAAAAAAGTAGGCCAATGGCATAAACCTGTCAAAGAGTGACTGAAATCTACCGGCTGGTGTCATGCAAATACAAGTCTATGGCCTTTCCACAGGATATGTAAAGTTCCACTAACGGTCTTATGATAAAAGGTATATGGGTTATTCAGGCTCATACACGTGCACCATACAGCAAAGACACCATTACTCAGTATTAATAACCACGACGGGGTCAAAAAAGTGGGTCTAAGCAGAACTAATAGAGCAAGCAGACGTATTGTTATTCATCCGCTACCACAACGATCTGCAACACTCTTAGTGTTTCTGAGAAGCTGTGATCTGTTGTCCATACTGTCTTCACACTCTGCTCTTTGTAACCTTTAGCTGGCGAGTTGGCATCTTTGAATTAGGGATGCCAGAAACTGACCATGATCAAAATCGGACAGCCCTGGCGAATAATAATCGATTATTCGACGCCCGCGCCCCCCCGCAGGAGAGAAAAAAAAAACCTCTTGCATTTGACCTCATTTGCACTTTGTCAGTTTGAAGTAGTTCCACGAGGAACTCTTCTTTCCTTTGTTCATCTTTAGTTGTGTTCTCACTACAATAAATCAATCGCACGTGTGACGGAGAGGGAGAGAGGGGGGGGGGGGG